GAGTGAAGGAGGTCAGGAAAAGTCATGGATAGAGAGTATTTACTAAAAAGAGTGCTGTACATAAAGAAAAACTCCCTAGGACTAAGCTCTACCTCATCTAAAGGATGGCTTAATTTGCTTATAACTCTTCCTGGTGGCTGGAATCCTCTTCTAATAAGACTGTCAAATTAAGTGTCTTCTTCCCTGATAAAAAGTAAGTAATAACTCACTTGGCTCTATAAATTACCAAAGTATAGAAGCAGTTAGTCTCAGACTGACTTATTCCTGAAATTGCCTAGTTAAACAGACCCATCTACTCGGTTACAGGAATAAGAATGAAGAACTCCTTGTAAGAAGTGACAGTTCTGGGCTTACCTTCAAGTTCTGCAGCTTCTCGAGCTTCACGTTCCAGACGCTGCCTAAGTAGCTCCTGCTGCTTTTCCAGATACTGTTTTATGAAACTGTTCTGGCTCATTTCCTCACCAATCTGTATAGAGGACATGGAAAAGAAAAGTCTAGGAAAGCAAATCATGAAAATGCAAGGAAGAACATTGCATGGATCAAAGGTCAAAGGAGATCTACTCCTTACTGGACTCAAGAAAGATGATTAAAATGTTAGACAGCCCCTTTGTAAGCTACTTTTATGCTGAGGACCAAAATGAATTGCCCTATATGATTCACAGAAGATGGCAAAATGAGGAACTGCACACGATTTTTTTATTTTAAATATTCAGTTCCTATCCAAAGAGCGATGCACAAACCTTGAAAGAAATAAATTCCTGTAAAACTATGTCTTCTATTCTAAATTCTTAGATAATAAAAAAATATTATCTAAAAACAATCTAGCTCTGACGGGTGTGCTGTTGGTTGGGCATTGTTCTACAAAGCAAGAGGTCGTTAGTTCGATTCCCAGTCAGGGCACATGCCTGCATTGTGAGTTTGTCCCCAGTCGAGGCAACCGATCCATGTTTCTCTCTCACACTGATGTTTCTCTCCCTTTCTCCCTTTCTTCCCCTCTCTAAAAATAAATAAATAAAATCTTTAAAAAAGAAAATCTAAATTTTTCTTATAGTAGTAACATCAAGAAATGAAAGGAAAAAATACTAGTTCATATTAGTTCATTTTTTTGTTGTCAACAATCTCTACCTATCCGGGAAACATTTTGACAAACACCTTCAAAATTTTAGTACGTAAAGTATGAAAGCAAGAGATTAAAAAAAAAGAATGTCCATCCAACTTTTAGACAGAGTTCTTCTAACTCTACTTTCTTTGGGTGATAGGAAACCCTTGGTAACAATATCTAAAATCCAGAGGCTTAATCCTCCCCCCACCCCCTTTTTTTTTGCAACACAGATCCCCACATCACTCTTTTGTCCCTCAGTTTTCTCTTCACAAATCCTCCTCCTGAGAACCTTCTTGCTTGGCAAGTCCTATTAGAACTCCAGAAAAAAGGAAAAAATCTAAATACTTTTTATGTTACTTGCTATCTTTCCTAAGCATCGTAAATGTTCGCTTTCACCTAAAGTAGAGATGAGTTTCTTGGTACTCAATGGACATTGATGAAGTATGGGTTGCATGTATCAGAAAATACATGTATTTGTTGCAAAAATCCTATGTTAATAAAAGCAAAGCTTCAAAGACTAAAATGTAAAAGGAGTATCATCATAAACTGATTAATTTATGCAGTTTCTTATACTTGTTAAAGTACTTAACTAAACCTCTGTAAACTGGCTGGATTAAGCTACACCTTAATGAGGTGATAACAAGGGAGTAGGAAGGCTCTCTTGTTTTTCCACAGTATCTTGGGACTTCATCTAGTACTGGAGCTGCACACCACTGCACTAACAAAGATCTGGATTTTTCCTTCAAGTGAATGATACACTACAATGAGGGGATTTTAAAACTGAAAAGAATCTTAAGAGATCAAGCAGTTTAAGATAGTGTTAAAATTTTCCTTTTTAGGGTTTGTTTTGTTTTTTAAAGAAAAACTGTGGAATGATTACTTTTAAAGAAATCTCATGAAGCCTAGCTGGTGTGGCTCAGTGGACTGAGGGTTGGCCTGTGAAGCAAAAGGTCGCTGGTTCGATTCCCAGTTTAGGGCACACGCCTGGGGTGCAGGCCAGGTCCCTAGTGGGGGGTGCGTGAAAGGCAACCACAAATGGATGTTTCTCTCCCTCTCTTCCTCCCTCCCTTACCCCTCTCTAAAAATAAATAAATAAAATCTTTTTATAAAAATTAAAAAAAAGTCTTATGCAGAAACTCAATATACAAAATCTTATGCAGAAGCTGAATATACAAAGCAGATAAAAATCTGATTTAGTTTAAAAGTGGAGTGTGAACCCCTCCTCACTTGGGAAGAAGGTATCTTCCCTAGAAGCCTCCAAAAGCAGTTCCACAAAACCTCGGCAGAGCAGTTATAAAACTACGGATCTAGTCCTACCTCCTATATTACACATAGGGAAATCAAAGAAACCAAGGCCTCCAACAATTAAGTATCTTGAATTAGTAACAGAGCAACTAATCAGGTTTAGGAGTAACTGCTTGGGCAGTATAAACACTTTTAATGGTGGATGATTTCCAAAAGATTGAATTCTTGAAAAATTTAAGTTAACACAAGAGTTCCTCAGCAAGTATTTTCCTGCATTGCCCTAGCGACTGTCTACTTTCCATCTACATTCAAAGACTACTTCTCCCCCCAAATCAATGGCAAATAAATGCCGTCAGATTCCCATACGGCACTTAAGTTGGAGCCACATCTTTCTGCACACACCATTTCAAGTACACATTAGAAATTAACTAGTAACTATTCTGATTCTGTTCTTGAATTCTTTTATTAGAATTCAACTTTCCAAGTACAAGAACATTTCTGACCCAGGGAACTTAGGAAATGTTGGTAAGTAATTAAGCCTCAAGAACACATCATGTCCTTCCATGTGTCTGTGCATCCAAAGAGCCTATCCCATCTAATGAACCTTCTTTCTTACCTGGGAATTTGGCTGAAATGCAGCATGGGGTGTTGAGTGTTTCTGTAAATTTTCTAGCATTAAAGCCTGGTGTAGAAAAGGGCAAAAAGTCAGAAATCAGGGGGGAAAAAAAGCCACCCCTCCCCCAATCCCTTCATTAAATGCAACGACTAACCATACACACTTAAACTGGACTCCTTTTCCAGGGACCTAAAAGCCCTTTCCTGTTCTCATTCATCTTCAGAAGACCCTTAAAGGTAGCCATGGTTACTGCTCCCAAATGTACATAGGTAAAATGCAGGCAAGTAAGAGACAATCAGTGATCTGGCTATGTAACAAAATCAGTGACAGTAACAGAGCCAGGACTACAATATAATCTCTATTATCTTCTGCACTTCTGACTACTGCCCCTTCTAAATCTGGCACTACAAGTAAAATTCATATACTCAAATCAGCTCAAAATATATGACACCATGGAGCTGCTGGTTTTGGGCTGAATGAATTACTTGGTCAAACAGTTAACCAGGACTAGACTTACAGTTACCCAAGACCAGATCAACTTAAGATTCTTTCCAAAAGAGTGGCACCTAGATTTATCGAATTTAAAGAGGCTACAGAACAAAATGAACAGACCCTGTAAACTGTAGTCTGACTTAATGAACCCCCGCCCCCGCGACGAAACTGTCAAGTTTATGAATAAAGTAACAGTCTGCCAACCCAACCTTTGAGCCAGCCCAGCCCTAACCTGTACTACCCACTACATATCCTAATCAACGCTACTTAAAACCAAGACATCCTCATCTTCCCTCCGTTCACACCAAACCCATACACACCAATCCATCCATCTACCTCATGACTATCCCACCCTAATCTACTCAAACCGATTAAAACCCCCCGACATATATACCAATCTGCCTCACTTCTCTCACCAATAGTCATCAAACTCTAATCTACGCAAATTGCTGTGGATGCCCTATATATTACACACCCCTCTATAACCATGTCCCTTCAAATTAAGGATTGTCTTCATCTCACCTCCTAATCTAATGAAACAGGCATACATATTTTTTTACCCTACTCGAATCCTATTTTTCAGGATGTGGATACCAACCCCATGAACCCCCCTGCCCAACTATACCCCTAACTCACACCCAGCCCAACTCGCCCCCCCCCCTCAGGCCAGCAACACCGGTGGTTGTAGTGGGATTTAACTCCTTCTGCAGCGCATGCGCCGAAACCACAGACACAAACAAGGAGGGGGTGGGGAAAGAAGGAAGAAGCTTAAGACACTCCGGGAGAGTAGCGCGCACCCTCCCATTTTGGGCTCGCGCTGCTGCCGTTAAGGCGGGAACCGGCGCTATCTCTATTCCTGCGCGAGCCTCGCCAACCACCCTGCGCGCGGCTCCGAAGGCTCGCGCTGGCGGCCTGAGCCAGCTCGCGCCGAGCCCGGACACTGCGCCTGCGCCGCAGCAGAGACTCGTCTCTACCGGGTCCGCTCCCCTCCGACACCCCGGCAAGGCCGTCTCCTCACCCCTTTGAGCCGCTTGACCAGGGCACTCTTCTGCCCGCTCTTGGCTAGGCCTCGCTGTTCTAGTGCGGCCTTCAGGTCGGTCACCCGCAGCGCCTGAAGAGGCTTCCCGTCCAGAGTCACCTCCTCCAGCTCCGCCATCTTGCGTGAGGTACTCGGGTCCGTCCCGACGGCTTCGGGCATCTTCGGTAATTTCCGCTAACGCCCTTCGAACGTACCGATCTGACCCCGCCCATTGCCATAGTCCACCCCTCGATTACCACTCAGAACTCCTCGAGTTCCCCCGGAACTGCTCGGGTGTTTCCGTCTCCATATCGGCACCAATCGATTCTTCCCATCCTCACAGACGCTCCACCTCCCTCATACTGCTTTCAGAGCTCGGTCGTCTTCGTTTTACCGAGGCTTTGAATCGAATCTATTCGGAAGCCTTCGCCTCTGGCATAACCAGGATCGGAATTATTCGGCTCTCTCCGGCCCTAACGCTGAGGCGCTGGGGCGCTTGGGTGTTTGGGGCTGGGCCGGGACCGGAAGTGCGTGGGCTGCCTGGCTGGCCTTGTTTAGGGTTTTCAGGAAACATGGAAGCGATGGCTGTAGATGGAGCCCAAGTACTCTTGTGATGGTCTCTCGGTTTTCTGTGAGAGGAAAGGGGAGGTAAGCAGGGTAGAAGTTCCTCCCTGGGCTGGGTCAGAGTCAGAGTCCGTGTTTGCGGGTCACCCTGGTAGGACAGGTCTCCTCTTCTACGGAAACAGATGCTGCCACCTATCCTTTCAATCCCCGCCACTCCTTTTTAAGGCGTCGTTGTTCTTTGGGATCTCGAAATGCCAGGCTCTTTGGCCTCCAAGGTGGACAAGTGGCAGGAGCGTGTCTTCAGTCTCAGATTGAACTAATTCGTGATTTTTGAACTTGCCTTTGCCGTGGAAGCCGTGTCGCAAGACTCGGGAAAAATTCTCCCTTTCCCTGAATAAGGGAATAGAGTTCCTTTAGGAGGAATTGCTTCTTGTAGGGCCACTGAAAAAAGAAAGCCTCTCAGGACTGCTTGGTACTGAACTGATGATAATTGTATAGGTGTTCTTTTCTCTCTACAAATGATCCAATTTGCACAAACAGTAGAATAGCTCGTGTACAGTAGTAGTTTTAAGGTTTTCATTGTTAGAGATTCAAACTGTGGTCTTTGAAAACTATTCAAGTTGGCTGACCTAACAGTTGGATTAGTGATGCAGATCAGTGGCAGGGCAGCAATAGGTATTATGCTGAACATAGGGAAAACTGTTGAAACACATGAATTGTTAAACGTCTACAGCAGTGCAACACTTGTTAGATCCCTAAGCCACCAAACCAACTATACATTTTTTTCAGTTTTGTATAAACACGTGGCTATTCTCTTGTTTCTCTTACTGCGTTATCTCATTTTGCATCAGGGCCCATCACTTCTCTTCCTAGTGCTTTACAGGAAATTTAAAGAAGTAGTGGGTGTTACTGATTTTTTGGCATATTTTATTTATTTTTTAAAAGACTTTCTTTACTTTTAGAGAAAAGAGAAGGTGGGGAGAAAGAGGGCAGGAACATCGATGTATGAGAGATACAATTATGGGTTGCCTCTCACATGCCCCCAGCTGGGGATCTGGCCCACAACCCAGGCCTGTGCCCTTACTGGGAATCAAACTGGCAACCTTTCAGTTTGCACGTGCATGCCCAATCCACTGAGCTACACCATCCAGACCTCTTAGCATATTTTAGGTGCTATATGTACATTGCAAAGGAGAGGCTTTCATTATATATGATGTATTTTTTTTTCCCTCCGCTCTTGATAGCTCTGGATTGGTTAGCATCTGGGCCCTTCCAGTTGCCTATACTTGATTAGAAAAAGGGGACCTTTTTTCACTTAGGGAAGATATGATGGACCAACATTAATCATTGGTTTTTTTTTTTTTTTCTTTATTCAACCTGGAACATAGAAATAGGCAGGAGAAAATAAGCAAGAAATGTGTTGGATAAGCTGGAATTATTGAGGGTCAAGGAGCAGCAGGGGAAGAGGAAGAGCAGGAAAAACAAAAGAGAGATAGAAGGGGTCAAAGAAAACAAAACAAAAGGCTGCCACAAAAAGTTATGATAGCCAAAATTCCCAGAGCAAAGCAAGAAATATATAACAAGAGTATGTGGCCTTGCCCCAGCTGGGTGGTTTACTTGGTGAAGGGTCATCTGCAAAAAGTTCCAGGTTTGATCCCCCAGTTCGGGCACATAGGGGAACAAATTGATGTTTCTGACTCACATTGATGTCCTCTCTCCCTGTCTGTCTCTCTCTCTCTACCCTGCTCCCCCACCCCAAATCATAAACATATCCTTAGATGAAGATTTTAAAAAAAGAACATGTGGCCTTGCAACTTATGAAGTTGATCTTACAGAAGCACAAAGATTTTTTTTTGCTCAAAAATTCTGTAGTGGCTCGGGAATTGGAGGATGAAATCATCATTCAAGAAGACTTTACAGATAACATTGATGTCATTCAGTAAAAATGGCCAGATATAGATGATGATAGATCTTGGAAAAGGGAAGAAGTGATTTCAAAATTTATATTTTGATGAACTGAACTGATATGGCCAAAGGGAGAGAAGTTGTTTGAAAACATATTAATCCTACAGTTAAACTATAAATTACCCTCACCCTTGGCATTTTCACTGTTCTGTACAAGGCTGCTTGTTTTTTAATCACCAAAGTCTAATAAACAGAGACTGCCATTCTTATGCATAAAATAGAATTTAGTCAAATAAAAATTTTTGGCCACTTGAAAAAAAAGTTGTTTTTAGATTTTTTAAAATAAGAATGATGGAGGGAAACTGTTTGGGGAGGGAAGTAGGTCTGAAAAAGAGGAAGGCTGGCAAGTATAAAATGAAATTATTCTTGGATGACCTCTCTAAATAGTTTGATAACCCAATTCCTGTAAATTGTATTGGTGAAAAGTAATTTTCTTTATAGATGCTGATTGAGTGTGATAAGATTTGTTGGGAAGTTGTATTTTGGTTGCTCTGTCTAAAGAGTATATAATAGTGCTTTTATGTTTCAGGATGCCACTGGACTCATCTTCATCTTCGATGCAGCTATCCTTTCCTTCTCCCTTATCCTCGGTGCCAGACAATTTTGCTAACTCTTCCCCTCCTCTAATGTCTTATATCACTTCTCAGGAAATGAAGTGTATTCTTCACTGGTTTGCCAGTTGGTCAGGTCCTCAGCGTGAACGTTTCCTACAGGACCTGGTAGCTAAAGCAGTGCCAGGAAAATTACAGCCATTGCTGGAAGGTCTGGAGCAGCTTAGTGTGTCTGGAGGAAACCGACCACCTTGTATCTTTGAGTGCCAGCTACGTCTTTGGGATCAGTGGTTTCGAGGCTGGGCTGAGGAGGAGCGCAATGAATTTGTCAGGCAACTGGAGGTCAGTGAGCCAGACTTCGTGGCAAAGTTTTACCAAGCAGTGGCTGCTACATCTGGTAAAGACTGATAGGCATTAAAATCAGAGAAGATAACCATAGCTGATGGAGCCAAAGCCACAACTTGACAGTGAGAACTTCATCTGTGTTACTGAAAGGTCTGGGAACGGTATCCTGATCTGCTGACTGAAGTCGCTGACTCATACAGCCCTGGTTATTTCAGTGTTAGCTGGACTCCTATTGTAAATATTTTCAATCCAAGCAAATGCATATCAGCAGTCTGCCTCAAGAGATGTCACACCCTCAAGAATTTAATGACTTCTTTTTTAACTATAACCAAAAGGCAACTATACATTATAACTCAGACCTACTGCTGGCCCATCTGGTTGTAAAATAGAGCCCTTCTACTCCAGAAACAGGAGAGAAGGGCAATAAAAGTCATGTTTTTCTATTTAGATGGATTCAGATGGCTGGTTTCACCACTCTTAGCAGATTCTGGTATAATTATGTGACATCCTAACCACTAGCTTTCCTGTGATGATACAGTAAAATTACAGAAAAATTAGAAAAGGGAGATAATTAGATATTCCTCCCTCCATACTGATGTGTGTTTGAATCCAACTAACAATGCCTTTTTTCAAAAGCATGTGTGATATCCTTGGAGCTGCTAGCAGATGTTCTTATTCTGTAAGTTTGCTGTATAACAATATGAGAAAAACTGACACTCTTTAGAAGTTGAAGGGTTTATTTTTTTGTATCAAAATAAAGAATGAATCTTTGGAATGAAAAGTCTATTTTTTTTTTTTTTCATTGCAAACCCAGTATGAAAAAAGTAAAACTTAAGAGAAGATAGTAGATTGACCTCCCATGTAGTTGTCTTCTAAGAAATAATCTCTGTTCTGCCCCCGTCATGCTCTGAATACTATCACACCTCCCTTAATCCTCCAACTAAGCCCCTTGTACTTTGGACTTCTGGTGAATGGGAAGGGGCAGATGGTCCCACCTGAAGAGGAGCTCGTTTCTGATAGGCCACGGTTCCCAGTGTACCCACCAGGATAAGCAGCATTAGGCAGAGCCCTGTGGACAGACCTAGATGGGTCATGGAGGGATTATGGCCCGAGATAACCAGCAACCTAGGAACATAGAAGTAATAGTTGGCTTGGAATAATGGCTAGGCTTAGGAGGTGAAGGGCTTTGCCTTTATTTTAATACATAGAGCTCATAAACCCTGTTTCATGCAAACAGCTGAGGAAATCAGTAAGAGCGACTCTAGAACCTGAAAGTTGGAATAAGACCAAATTCCAAGTCATCAGCAACTTAGATTGTTGGAGGGAGATTTAACTTGGCAGTGAGGGAAGTGGCTTAAGGGAAGGGTTAGACTGGTCTTTAGGTAACTAGACATGGTGCCTGGGTAGTGCTTAAGAAATGAAGGGTGCTAGGACCCCTGTCTCCCAGGGTAGGGGGAACTCCACTGTCATGAGTGGAGAAGTGTCCCATAATGACAGGCTTGAAGTAATCATGTTAGTCAGGGATCCCTGTTCTCTGAAATGAATAATAACGGCTTAATGCAATTTCAAATATCTAGACTAGGAATTTGAAAAAGAAAACCTACATGGAATATTATCTTACTTGCTGTGTTCTGTGGTAAAGTTAGCTCCTCCATAATATACTTCTAGAGGCTTCTTCTGGAGAGTCAGGGTCAGGGCCCTGTGCAGCATACTAACCGAAGGCCCTTGGCAACCAGGAGACTTCCAAATGTGCACAGTGAATACCAGGCTACTTGTAATTGAGGGGCTGTGGAAGTAGCACCTAAATGGATATTTGGATCTCTTAATGGAGGTATAGTCCCTGGAAGATATCTTACAAAACATTCGGGCTTGGGAGTGGAATGAACAAAGCCTCAGAGGACAGTTGCAGAGTAAAGGACTTAAGCATTCTCCCTGGCCCATAGGAAAAATCCTCAGCCTGGATGGTCGCTTTACCTGCCAGTGCCTCCTCTGTTCACCAGAGCCTGTAGGATTGCTTCAGTCAACTCTTCTCGTTCTTCCTCCCCCAGGGATTGGCCTGGGGGCCCAGCTAATCCTAAAGACAGCCTGAATAACAGGTCTTGGGTTGAAAGACTCAGAGGTGGGAAAGTAGCAGCATCTGTACCTTCTTTAGTCTGGCACAGCCGACCCCGGGGACAGACGAGAAGACCATGGTACCCAGGTATCTACAAGGAAACATAGCAGGGTATAGTTAGAGCCTTGGTTACTTGCTCAAACACTCCTAAGGAAAATGTAAAGTCTAGATCAAAGTCATGGGCTCTGTGGGTACTTAGTAAATAAAGGAACATAAAACAGGTTGGACAGGGCCACTGTATGAACGTTTCCAAACTTCTTTTTTCCAATGTGCTACAGTTTTCTCACCTATAACACCCACCTGAATAGCCTCTCCTGGAGGGCATGAGGCCCAAGGGGATCCCTCCACCTGCACCTTATAGGCTCCCCTCTCTGTACATTGATGTAAGTAGCAGTGGCCAGCGAGCTCTGCTTCCTTTAGGTATGGGATCTGAGAGGGAAACCTGGCCTTGTCCCCAGGGAGCCGCTCTGATGTGAGGTTGGCAAGGAAGCAACGACTCTGGGGATGGTAGATCTCCCCATGAGGATTCTCCGCCCCAGGTGGGAATCCATTTTCCTTCTTCCAGCATTCGCTCTGAAGGGTGGGGCAGAAGTTAAAATAATGTTTGTATCGATGCCTTAGAACTTGACTCCTCTCCAGGCCCACTCAAGTTCGCTCTCTGCTTTCTAGTCTACTCACTCTGTTGGCCAAGGGCTTGTACATGCGGCAGCCTTCCAGCACAGGGTCTGAGGAGCAGCTTCCCTTGTCCAGGTGCAGGTAGTGGCAGCCCAGTCCACTGTAGGGAGGGGATGATAGAGTGACTATAGGATCACTGACAGCTGCACAGCCCCTCAATGACTCAGCACACACACCTGCCAGTACAGAAGAAGTCTGAGGAGCCAGTCCCACATGTGGTCACCAGGCCAAATTCCAGGCCAGATCCTGCATAAGAGATAGGAAGAGAAAGAGCCCTCAGAACAAATGAAGCCCCAAATATCCCTCAGTGCTAGTTATGCTTACAGCTTCCGTTGCATCTTAGCAGCACATAATCCAGCCTCTCTCACTTTCCCCACGCTGACTTCGGTCACGTGTGCCCCTCTGTAGTTCTCCCTTATTTCTTACCCTGGCCCCACAACAGCTCCTCTGCAGCACTGTGATTAACTTGGTACCAGCCTGAGTCTTTGAAGGCAGCAAGAGTGATTTGGTCTAGTCGAGTGTACTGGGCACCATCAAAGGTAGCAGTCATGATCGAGCCTTGGAGTAGTCGGGCCTCCCAGTGTGAAGACAAAGGGCCCTACCAGAGGAGGAAACTGGTAGCCACCTGGCCAGTCCTTCCTTCCAGCACCCCAGGGTGTTCTTATTCTCACCTCTTCTTCCAAGGGGACGCCCAGTGAAATCCCTAGCACTCCCAAGTGTTTGGCCAGGCTGTCGCTAACAGTTGGGGTGGTGAGAAGCAGCTGTCCCCACTTATCTCGCCTTGTCACCTGTTGCCTTGTAGTACAGTTCTCTCGAACTGTACTACAAGAATTGAGAAAGTGAACAGAGGAAGGGGAGAAGGCAATGTGAGGAGAGGAACACTTAGGAAGGATAAGGTAGAACTGGAAAGAAGTTCATGAGATAGTAGTGATTCCCTCCAGTTGACCTTGTGGGAAGACCTCTTCCTCATTCCTCTCATTTACCGCTGGGTCCTGAGGGGCAATTCCGCCACTTCTTGAAGAGCTGTCCAGAGAAACCCAGGATGTGGAGCAATTCATGCAGTGTGGCCTATGGACAATGACAGCAGAGTGAGGGACACTGGGTTTGCAGCAGGATTGACTAGCCACTCTGCCCCATCACTTCTTAGAACCTGAGGCACCTTTTATTCCATCCTTAGTAGTTTCTCCCACTTCATGAAAAGCTGGATGGTCTTCCCTACCTCCCCCAACCTGTCATTATGCAGCAGTCACCATGACGATGTCACTGTGGCTGAGGCTGGGGCTGGTGAGATGTTGGGCACAGTAGACAATGGTACCGGCAAGGGGCCTGTCTTCTGAGTCCAGCTGGCAGCAGGCAGCATAGGCAATGACAGAGGGCTGCGGATGGGTGAGGACAATGCAGGGGCAGAAAGAAGTAGGGTAACCCAGGAGAAATCTTCCTGAAAATGGAAGTCCGATGTACCAAGGGATGGAATAGAGGATTTTTTAATCCCCAACCCAAACTTCATCAGCCTGCCCCAAGTTACCTCAAATAAACACAATTTAATAAACACTACTTTATGTCCCTTACCCCTCATATTTAAGATTTAAGAGAAGCAGAGTAGGGAAAAGGGATTTGATTTGAACCTCACCTCTCGGTGGCACTTGGAAGTGTGGGCAACCTGCACATACAGGAGAAAATCAGTGTTTTGGACCCCAGGCCCATCTGGCTGGACCAGTTGTGGGGGACCCCGCTCTGGCCACAAGGCATAACCACGGAGATGGGCATCAGGAATCTGGCAGGGAATGAAATGTGGCGTCTCGATTAGCAGGTGGGCTGGAAAGATAGGACAACAGGACACGGAGTGCTGGGAGTGAGGGGCAGAGTCTCTACCTTTAGCTGGCCTTAGTGCCATCTGGGCAGCTGGCTAGAATGGGGAGCTCTACCATCCCCCACCCCACCCCAGATCTCTGACTTAACAAATTGCCAGGGGGAGAGTGGGGGGACCGGAATCTGCATTGTTAGGGAGCACATTTGGTAATCCTGTGCCGGTGGTCTTGGAGAGGTCTAGGCAGGCTAAAGATCATCGGATCCCCAAATCTGAGAAATTGCTGTCACCTTTGCACCCAGGCAATTCTCTCCTTTGTACCCTTGGTTCAAGAGGCTGCACCTGCCAAGAATGAATATCTGTAGGTGAGCTGGAGACATTTCTGGGTACCCCTGAAGAAGCATTGTACACACAATGATAACGAACTCACCTGTGGTAGTTTGGGGTATCTGGGTCTCCCCAGACAGCATGGCAGTACTGTGCAGGGTCTCGGCTCAGAAGCAGGGGTCCTTGCACTGGAGGCACTTAACAAGACGAGAGGTCCATTTTACCTCAGTATCTTAGAGTTTCAGTTCCTCTTCTGTGGTGGTTGTCTGCTTCATATCTCTCTGTTCCTCAGCCCTCCTGACTGATCCGTGCACCCACTCACCTGCTAGGACACCCTGGAGTCTCTGAGCAGCCTCTCTCACTGCGGCCAGGGCTTGGGATTCCACACTTATCCCATCTTCCTCAGGATCCCAAGCTCCAGCTGACACAGGGTCTCTTATATAGCAGGTTTGAATTCGGAGGGGTTGAGGATCACGAGAGCCAGGGAGGGTGAGAGAGGAAGAGCGGAAGTTGGAGGGAAGTTGAGAGAAAGGGGGCCTAAGAAGGCTCACAGACTTCTGTGTCTCATCATGTAGACACCTGCTTGTGGCAGCCCCCAGGAGTAGCAGCAGGAGCAGCAGCAGCAGCATCTTTTTCCGTCAAGTGTCTTCCACAGCCTGCCCTCGACGCTATCTTCTGATCCCTTCTTCCCTGCCCCACTCACTTCTGGCTTTCCTTTCTTTATCATATCTCTGCTTATCCCCTCCACCACTTGTGCTTATTTTTCAAGATTTAAGTGTTGTTGACTAAATCTACAATTCCTGCCAGGAGGTGAGATGTGAACCACAAGGGCCAAAGCTGCCCCCACCCCAGGGGGGCACCAGAAG